AACTTGACTACTCATGGAATTACAGAGACTACTATGTATTCATCCAGGTCAGCCTCCTTTGGGGCACACACTGAAACTGTATTTGCCAACTTTTCCTGGAAAGTTATGAGGGACCACATGACCAATTCTGGCCAGTGGAAGGGGGCAGAAGTAAGAGATGCTACTTCTTGCATCCTCAGAGCCTCTTGTGTGATTCTCTACAACTGGAAGCAAAGTACTCTGAGGACCTAGGAGAGCCACAGATGGGCGGAGCCTGGGTTCCTGAGAAGCCCTTTGGAGGAGAGCCATAGAACTAGGACACTTGGGTTGGATTGTTCCTAAGCGAGATAAACTTGGATTAAGCCATTGAAATGTGGGGCTGTTTGACATAGCAGTCAACCCTAACACATGATGTATAAAAGTAAATTTCAGAGGGAGGGTACAGCTCTGTGGTAGAGCATGTGCTTAGCATGTATGAGGTCCTGGATTCAATCCCCAGTGCCTCCATTAAGAAAAAAAGAGTAGGTTTGTTGAATTCCTTTCAAATGTGACTGTGGCTCCCTACTTCTGTACCCTCACCTTTGTTCCCTGTCATGGCACTCAGACATTTTTAGCATCTAGCATCCTTCCCAAAAGTCAGAGAGACATGAGTGCAACAGCAGCTTACTTGCCTCCTAAATATTCTTTGGGATTTATTAAAAGAGTGCACATGAGATGGTTTCATTTAAGAACTTGAAAATCGTAGGTTGAGAGAATTTTAGAAATGGAAGGCACATTTGTAGTCATCTGGTTCAACCATTAGAACAAGTGAGGAGGCTTGGGGACAAAGTAGTGACATAAATCCACAGGCTGGATAGTACTGGAGCTAGAATCAGCACCCACTTCCTCAGAGCCCTTGTTATCGTGCCTGTCCAAACATCTGGACGTCTAGCCCAGCATTATACTTTACTAACAACTCAAGCTTCAGAACAGAACCAAACTGGGTTAAAATTCTGGATCCCCCGCTCTTACCAGGTGGACCATATCAGGAATAGCATTTGACATCTCTAAACAGCATCTAACCTCATCTGTAATACAAAGATAATAATCATAATACTCTCCTCTTAGCGCTGTTATATCAACTAAACAGATTAATGCATTTAGAGTGCTTAGCACACATCTGATCCTAATAAAATTTTATGATGTTAGTTTCTGCTGTTATTTAAAAGAACACCAAAGTTGTATAAACCAATGCAGTGGCCTTAACAGAACAGCATCCCACACAGCTTCAGGATTACTTCTGTCTTCTCTACTCATGCTTTTGAAGGAGTTAAGGGCATGCCACCCAAAAATATACTGCGTTGGTATATTGATTATTTTGAGCTGAAGGCACTTGAAATGCAGGGAGAGGCTTTCTCTGAATTCCTCTTGTCTGCCTAAAGACAGATTCTCCAAAAGGAACTCAATTGTCATAAAGCCCCTCATTCAAGAAGATGTTTCATTAACCTAGGAAGAGAGAGCAAATCCTATCACCGGAGAGGAGACTAGAAGTCCACATCACACCTGGACAAACTTGGTCACAAACTGTCCCCTCTCTCATCTGTTCCTTTAAGGGCCCATTCATCTTTCCTGAAACTCATTTACTATCCCCTAAGAGACCTATATCCTTCTCCCCCTCCCCATAAGACGGCACATAAGCTCTCAAATTCTACCAATTTTGGGGGTTTTCACTTTTTTTCCCTGTGATGCCTCTGTCTACATAATATTAAAAATCAGTGTTTGTATACCTTTTCTTCCGTTAATCTGCCTGTTGCCCATTTATTTCATGGACCCACCTATTGAAACTGCAGTAGAGAATAACCTTTGTTTTGCTGGAGGTTTACAGGGGCACCATGAGCTAGCCCACGGGGATGCCTGCAGCAAGAAGATTACAACAATCAACCACACCCACTCCCTTATTTTTTGTATAAAAGGACCCTGTATTTTGACTAGAGCAGGATGGTTCTCCAAGACATTAGTCTGCCATCCTCTCGGTCTGCTGGCTTTCCGAATAAGGTTGCTGTTTCTTGCCCCAACGCCTCATCTCCTCAACACCTCGTCTCCCAATTTATTGGCCTGTTGTGCGGCGAGCAGAACGAGTTTGGACTCGGCAACAAAACTAGGAGGGGAGAGGGAAGTCTTTCCTCCCATATTCTTCTGAGGGCATCAATTCATCACTTTATATGCCTGGCTGTCTCCTCTACCAGATGGTAAATTTGTTGCCTCTCTCTCTCTCTGTCCCTCAGGGGACTTGCACAAAATAGTTGCTCCCTTGAAGCTTGTTGGGGAGCAGAGCCTGACATGGGGGAAGATAAACTTAAGAGCTTCTGAGTTTCTTTTTCTTTTTTTTTGAGCTTGTGAGTTTCTAACGCCCCATTCTTGGCCAGGGTTGACCAAGCTCCATGCCCACCTCCCTCTTCAGGGCTCCAACTCCTGTTTTGATGAAGAGAAGGCAACCACTCTGGAATAGCTGGATGGCCTTTATTAGAGAAGACCTTGACCTTGAAAAGCTTCTAGAAAAGGTGGTGGCCCCAGAAATGCCCAACCAGTTCTGGTTACTAGCAGGCGGACCTAATTTCCTGGGCTCTTAATGTCTAACAGCTTCATCCTCGGGATAAGAACTGCTTCATGCAAACCAGAAGGCTGGAAAGTCTTGACAAGTCCAGCTCCTGGCTGTGGGGCTTGCAATTCCCATTTGCAGACATCCTCCTCTAGCGGGTGGCTTTGCTTTCAGAATCCTGACCATTTCACTTTCTATCAGCAGCCCCTAGAGCAAGAAGTGCTGGGATCATGAAACTCAAATATTAAACTGATTGTAGCTCTGGGAAATGGGGAGATTTGAAACTGCTTTTCTAAGAATCAGTCTTGAAGTGGAGCAGAGCTCTGTAGGGTCCTCCCTGGTTCAAATCCTTTCCATGTCTCCTGTTTCTTGTTTGTAGGAAGTAGAACTCATTCAGCCTCCTTGACCTTCCCTGAGTTCCAAAGAGAAGATTCAAACAGCTGCTAATCAGAGAAGTGAGGGAATGCATAGACAAAGGAGGAACAATCAAGAAACAACACTGCAGCCTTGTGGCAGGGTCCTGGTTCCTCCTCAAAGAGGAACCAATAATATCTCTGAGTTCTTCTGCAGGACTAAGGTCCTGCCCAGGTGGAGGGTGGCAACTTGAGGCTGAGCACAAGATTCCTGGAACACCACCCTGTGACCTCACCACCAACCAATCAGAAGAAAGTCACACCATGCAGCCCTCACCCCAAATTTTGCCTTTAAAAACTCCCTGACAACCACTGGGGAGTTTGTTTTTCCTGAGCATGAGCTTTCTGTTCTCCTTGTTTGGCTCTGCAATAACATTTATCTGCTCCAGACTCCAACGTTTTGGTTTGTTTGGCCTCATTGTGCTTTGAGCACATGAACTTTTGTTTGGAAACAGGGGAAAGGGTTTAATATGATGGGTACCACTTCAGTCTGGGATGCTTAAAAAGTTCTGGAAGATGGATAGTGGTGATGGTTTGCAACAGAAAGATGCTGGACCTTCTAAACAGGACTTATTAAATGAAAAACAAAAAGACCCAAGGCAGGGGTGGCAAAAGGCCCTAAAAAACAGAAATCCCCCAAACCTACTAGAGCTCTGTTTTCATGATCCCATCAGGCATTCGGTGCTGCAGATAATAGGGAGAGAGTTGTCCTGGAGTCCTGGTCATTTTTCTCCCCCTTAAGCCAAGTGAGGGGATCCAAGAGGTGGACCCAGAGTGCTTGACATGGGTTTCCTGTGAAGGGTTGCACTATCACCCCAAAAAATGCACTTTGGCATGAGAATTATTTTGAGCTAAAGTCAATTGAGATGAAACAGATCCAAGAAAATCTTGCTCTTCCTCGAGTTGCCTAGAAAAGTAGGATAGAAATTTGTAAAGGTGTCCCCTCCACTCCCTACCTGGAAGGTCAGACGTTAATCAGTGGAGACAACTCTAGACCCTTATCAACCTTTAGTCTCACAAACGTTGCCAATACTGGTCCTTATCTTCTAGTAGTTTCCCCATATATTTGCCTTCCCACAGTTTGCCCTTTGAAGTTCAAAGTCCTTTCCCTTTGTCTTGTCACTTCTCGAAAATGTTATCTTTTATTCTTCTGTCATCTGAGTGCTCTACATGTATGTGAAATGCATGTGTTAATTAATGTGTTGGTTTCTCTCCTGTTATTCTGTCTTTTGTTAGTCTAATTTACAGAGCCACAGCCAATGAACCTAAGATGGATGAAAGGAAAAATTTTTTCCCTCTCCTACACCAGCAGTTGGGAGAACCAGAAAAGTTTAAAAGAGAGGTGCTGGCTGCCCCTGCTTCTGATCTGATGGGCCCTCATCTATCTATCTATCTATCTATCTATCTATCTATCTATCTATCTATCTATCTATCAGAAAGGAGCCTTCAGAGGGGCTGGAAGCTTTCCACATTTTGAATATTGAGCTCAGTGGTAGTTACCCAGGTGCAAAAATGCATTAAGCTTTATACTTATAATTTGTGTACTTTGCTATAACTAAATTATACCTCAAGGAGGGGAGGGTATAGTTCGTGATTAGAGTTCATGCTTAGCACACAACGTCCTGGGTTTAATCCCCAGTACTTCCGTTACAACATAAAACAACTAACTAAATGAACCTAATTACCTCCCCCCACCAAAAAAAAAAAAAAAAAAGAGGCAGGAAAATCCTCAACAACAACAGTAAGTTATATACCTCAATTTAAAAATACCAAGCTTACTCCCCAGAAATTCTAGATTTAAATGGTCTGAGGCAGAGCTCAAGCATCAGGATTTCTAAAGCTCCCCAGCTAGTTCTGATATTGCAGCCAGTCCCAGGACACACAAGTAGGGCCTCACAGCTTATCCTTGTAGGCCCTGGCTAGTGACTGGTCTATGCCTGGCTTTTGGAACCAGGACTAGCTCTTGCCAAAAGATCAGCCCCCTTTTCTGACGAGCCAAACTGAAACTCAGAGACAGGGTCTTAGAGCATAGAAGGAAAGAGGCAGCTTTATTACTTGGCTGAGCAAAGGGGACTCACAACAGGCTAGTGCCTTCAAAACTGTGGACCCACTGTGGGGATGGGGTCCCCGCAGTGGTTATACAGCCATAGCTCAAACAGTAAAACATGGATAACAATCAACAGGATCATTTTCTTGTCCTAAGACTTAGAGTGGCATCTTGACGACAGGTTCTATAGAGGCCAGCGGTTATCACTTTTTCCATCTCTTTATCTCATAAGCGCCCAAGGCGTGGTCTTCTTGGTAATTCAGGCTATTTTGTAAGGTTACAGTTCCATGACCTTTCTGGAGAACAACCCAGAAACCAAGTATGATTATTACTTTTGATTACTGGAATAAAGCAGAAACAGTAAAATCAATAGTTTTATTTTAACAACGGGCCTGGAGCTGTGAGTAGCGACTGGTCAGTCAGGTCGGTTGACCGTTCTAAGGGCAGGCGTAAGAATACGCAACCTGTTAGCTTAAGTGCGGCCATTTTATTAATTCTCCTTCATAGCCTCCACGGACTAAGTGAAATCAAGGGGTTAGAGGACAGCTCATAGGGTGAGGGAGAGGAGCACTGTAATTTGTGAACTCACACCAGTTTCCTTCTATCCTTCTAAGACTTCCCTCTTGCTTCTCCTCATGCAAATCAGCTTTACAAATCCACCCTGCAGGTCACTGCCAGGGAATCCTCAGCTCTGCCTGGACATCCGACTGCAGTAGCAAGGAACTCCCACTGTAAAAGCCATAAGTCCCAGGTTTCAGCCCCCATTGCCTGTGGCCAGAGCATCACCCCAGGGTAAGCCAGGGAGCCGGAAACTTATGACTGCAGGAAATCGGAGCCCACAGCTTCAACCTGGCATCTAGATACCAGGCCTGCAAGGAAGGAGGTACACAGTGAGGAGGGTGGGGGCGGCGTGTGCGCAGACATTTCCAAGGACCCTGGAGAAGAATAAATGAGATGATTTTGGCTGGGGAACCCTGAGTAAATGCAATGTAAAAGCTTTGTGACTATGGCCTGGGGAATCATTGGAATGAGTATTTATGGTTGTATTTTTCATTGAGCTTGGCTAGGAGTCTTCAGAAGTGAAAGATTTTTTGGCACCAGAAGACTTGTGCCAACCAGTATATCTCTAAATTAAGTAGTGAAGCAGACAGGCTTTGAGTTACTGGACACTAATTTCGTGACTTGGCATGAGAATTCAAGCTTCTTAGAACAAGTTCTCGCAATTAGACATGTAAAAATATCTTATGAATACCAATGAAGAAAGAAAAAATGAAGTGATATCTACTCAAGTAGCTGTTTAATGGCAGAAAAAGAGAGTGTGGAGTTCATGGCAGGGCAGCCCACGACAGAGACCTTTTTTTCCCTTCCTTGAAGGTCAAAGCCACCCTAAACCATGCCCAGTTTTCCTGAAGAACTTCCCGTTGTCTCCTAAGCAGTGGGGATATATTTGAGACACTAATACTCCTTTTGACTCCTCTTGACCAATACTCATCTTTTTTTTTTTTTTAATTGAAGTATAGTCAATTATAATGTGTCAGTTTCTGGTATACAGCATGATGTCCCAGTCATGCACATATATACATATATTTGTTTTCATATTCTTTTTCATTAAAGGTTATTACAAGATATTGAATATAGTTCCTTGTACTATATAGAAAAAGTTTGTTTTTTAATCTATTTTTATATATAGTAGTTAACATTTGCAAATCTCAAACTCCCAACTTTTCCCTTCCCACACCCTTTCCCCCAATAACCATAAGATTGTTTACTATGCCTGCAAGTGTTTCTGTTTTATGCATGAGTTCATTAGTATCTTCTGTTTTCTTTTTTTTTTTAGATTCCTTATATGAGTGTTATCATATGATATTTTTCTTTCTCTTTCTGGCTTACTTCACTTAGAATGATGATCTCCAGATCCATCCATGTTGCTGCAAATGGCATTAGTTTATTCTTTTTTTATGCCTGAGTAGTCTTCCATTGTATAAATACACCACAACTTCTTTATCCAGTCATCTGTCAATGAACTTTAGGTTGTTTCCATGTCTTGGCTATTGTAAATAGTGCTGCTATGAACATCAGGATGCATGTGATGAAGGAAAACGGATGTGGGGCGTGTGGAGGGCCATGTCCCAGGTCTTGGTTGAGCCCCTGGGATGTGCCCCGCCAAGTGTGAGTCCTCGGTTTCATGCAGGAAAGAATTCAAGTGTGAGCCACAGTTAAGTAAAGGTAGATTTATTTAGAGAGATGCATACTGCATAGAGTGTAAGGCAAGAGAAAAGGAAGGAAAGAGGTGTGGGAATTGGGTGCTCAGGTTAAAGTAAAAGTAGGTACACACTCCAGAGACAGAGTGCGGGCCGTCTCCAAAGAAGAGGGAGTGAAAAGGGGCCACTAGGCATGGTGTTGCCAGTTTTTATGGGCTCAGCAGCTTCACATGCCTACAAGTGGGACCATTCCAACTATCCTGGGGAAGGGGCTGGAATTCCCAGAAATTGGGCCACCGCCCATTCTTTGGCCTTTTGCAGTTAGCCTTGGGACTGTTATGGCGCCTGCAAGCATGTTATTTATGTTAAAATGAGCATATAATGAAGCTCAAGGTCTACTAGAAGTCAAACCTTTTAATCCTCCACCATTTTGGTGAATCTTCCACCATTTTGGTGTTAAATTGCTGTCATTCTTTGAGTGGCTGTCCCCTGCCCCCTTCCCTCCTGTCTCACGTGTATGACCAACACTCATCCTTAACTCAAACCCCAAATACAAAAACAGCCCCTCCTCCCACTCCTCTTGGCCCTGCTCTTGTCCGTCAGCCCCCAGCCTAGTTTCACTTCTCTCACCCTTACTGATTTTCTCCTTTCTTGTCTTCTTCCCTTTTCTTCTCCACATCAGTCCCCAATTCTAGTCATTTTGCACCATTTCATGATTTTTGCATACCTTAATATTAACTTAATTTTTCTGACATTATTGTTTTTCTCTTCACTCCCTTTTAAAAACTTAAATAAAATTATTATTATTATTACTTTTGGTTGGGGGTAATAAGATTCATTTTTTTTTAATGGAGGTGCTGGAGATTGGACTTCCTGCATGCTAAACATGCCGCACTTTACCACCAATCTATACCCTCCCCCTAAATAAAATTACTTATAATGAAGCTTAGTATCAATGGAAAACCAGTATCCTTTGCTATAACAGGAGAAGATTATAAAGCAGTCAAATGAATACAATGAAAACAGAACAATGGTATGAAGTTCCAGCTACTGTTGGTAACTGCAGGCTCTGAAGACAGACTAGCACCCTACTCAGGTTTTCGCCTTCACACAGTCATGAGTGGCCAGGGAATAGCCTCATCACGTTACCCAACAAAATTTCACGTGCACAAAGCACAGTGAGACCAAACGAATGGGAACATCAGAGCTTGGAGCATAGAAAGGTTTACTGCAGAACCAAGCAAGAAGAACAAGTGGCTTGTGCTTAAAAACACGAACTCCCCGATGGTTTTTGGGGAGGAGTTTTTAAAAGCAAAATTTGGGGTGAGGGCTGCAGGGCGTGTGACTTTCTTCTGATTGGTTGGTGAGATCCCAAGGCGGTGTTCCAGGAACCTGTGCTCAGCCAGAAGTTGCCATCCTCCACCTGGGTTGGGGGCCTTAGTTCCTGCAGAAGAACTCAGAGGTATTACTGTGTCTATTCCTTGCGGAGGAACCAGGACCCTGCCCCAAGTCTGCACTATTGTTTCCTGACCGTTTCTCCCTTGTCTCTGCATCCCCTCCCTTCCCTGATTAGCAGCTGTTTGAATCTGCCCTTTGGAACTCGGGGAAGGTCAAGGAGGCTGAATGAAGCCTATTTCCTACAAACAAGAAACGGGGGACACAGAAAGGCTTTTGTGCCCAGGAGGGCCCCACAGGGTCCTGCTCGGTTTCACTCACTGTGTTATTCATGTAAAGCCGTGTTTTAGACCATTCTGTGCAGCCCAGAGGATCCTGGTGGGAAGACCACTCTGGTCAGCTTTCTGTGCCTTCCCCTTTGCTCTCACTCTCTCATTTCTCCCATTTCCATTTGTCCCCTCACTTCTGTTGCTGAAAAACCAGCCTCTCTACCCCAAGAGCCAAATTGAGAATCAGAGGCAGAGTTTGGGGGGGATAGAAAAGAACAGCTTTGTTGCTGTGCCAGGCAAAGGCAGGCGCGGCAGGCTGATGCCTTAGAGACTGGGAGCCTGTCTTGGGGTAAAGGTCCTGGGGCTTTACAGGAAAATGGGAACAGGAGGGTGATAACAGTCAGGGTGTGAGCAGGGGTGACATACCTTTCATCTTGATAAGAACTTGCTGTTGTTATGGAGGAATTTAGGAGGGTCTGCCCATTATTCCTGGGGTTCAGTCCATGACCTTCTTTCAAGACCTCTAGGGTAAAAGGTTGAGTTACCCTAAGAAAAGAGGCGCAGGGAGGGGAGCGTGGTGGCCATAAGATCAGCTTAGCTAGAAGTGCAGGCTGAACAACTCAGTGGCCACCATGTTCATTTTCTGCTCTTTCACTTCCTCCCTTCTCCTCCTCCCCCCACCTCTTTTTAGTGGAGTAGGTAAGTACTCCTATTATCTTCAATGTCCTAACTACTCGTAAGAAAAAAGACAGAAAATAATTCCAATTTAGAAAAGATGACCCAAAGAGGCTTCCAGCCAGGCTATCTCCGTGCCGTGTGTAAGCCTTACTCCCAGGGGCTGGCCCTCTGCCTCTCTTCCAGGGCAGCCACCTGCTCTCAGAAGCCATTAGGACCACTTCCCTGACAGTTTTTCGATGCAGTGTTGAAAGAGGAACACAAATCAGTGAGTGGGGATGCGGGGCCCAGGTCAGCCACCCCGGACCAGCCTAGCAGCCATCCCTGGACACACTGTCCCCCCTTGTAAACCCAGAGAAGAGTAGCTCTGGTTGGATTCATTTAGACACAGAAACAGACTCATCCAGCAGCTCCTCACGGGCTAACACAGTGGGATGGCTGGGTCTAGTGGACAAGGTATGACGTTGTTATAAGGTAAAATCATGATTTCCATAAAAATATAAAAAAGACCACGTGCTAATTTACTTTGCTCAAATGATATGATAGGACCAGGCAGATGTTGTAATTGTTTCAAAGGAAAAGTCAAAACAGCACAAATTTACACTGAGTTCTTCTGTTGAGATGAATTGCAAAGGAAGACAGAAATGTATTTTTTTTCCCTGCCAGCGGGGTGGGGGTGGGAGGAAGTCAAATCTCTACCAGACAGGACAAAATTTACAGATCTATCAATTACTTACAATTTATAGAGTTGAAAAATAGCTGAAAGACAATGGACAGAGCTTGAACCTCATAGACTTGGAGGATGTGCTACACTTGATACAAACAGATGATTGAGTTTTCCGCTGAAACACAAAATTGTTTCTACATAAAGCTTTAACCTAAGGGAGATCCCATTCCTTTGGTTAATGCTTTCCTAACAGCAGCTCCTTAGCATATATACCACACCCACGGCCTCCCCACCTGGCAGGTGAGGCTCACTGGATGATAGATGGAAGGAGAGTGAGGGACTTGGGTTGCAGGTGTGACTCATCGCTAACTAACAGCAAGAACCGCGCGGCCTCAATCTAGTCACCTGATGCACTAGGACTCTCCCTTAAAATGAGGGCTGACAGTTACAGGTGTTCTTCTCTAGGTTTCTCTAGCTCTCAAGTTCTAGAACTCCAGGGAGGGAGAAGCTGATGTTCATAAGCCACAAACTAGCCCAGGCTGATTGATTCACGTCCCCACCTTGTCAGTCACTGCTCTGGGGTTAACAGCAAGTAAGATACTATCCTTATGGTTCTTCCTTGGTTTGTTTGGTATTCTTACCCACCCCTCCCCCTCCACCACTCTGACAGTTTGGGGCCCCTGATCAATACTGTCCTTTTGATTGACTGAGAAGATCTCTTTCCCCTTTTCACGTGGTTTTCCAGGAAGTGAGTGGCTGGGGAGCAAGCCAGGTCTTTGGGCCATCTCTCATCCCACTCGAGAGTCGGTGTTTTTCTCCAGCAGGGGCGGGCGAAACGACTCCAAAATGTGGTGTGGGGACTGGGAGACATCCAAAGAAACTTCAGACAGGTTGTGTGGCCGGCTCGGGGCTACACACGGGGTGAGCCCGGCACCACCCCAGGAATGACCAGGACATATGCCACTTAAGGGGTGCGCCCAGCAGGCCCCCACTGCTGTGCAGGAAAAAGAGTGAGTCACCCTGGGAGCGGGGGCGGGGCTGGTGGGGGGTGGAATGCCCCAGGAGCAATGAACATGACAACTCTCCCCTGGCCTGGGTCAGTGCCTGGGCCGGTGGTGGGGAGCACCCAGGAAGCCAAGTTTGGACCCCGTTCCTCTTAGCCTGTAGTCTCCTGGCTGCAGGAGCAGGACTAGGAGAAAGGAAAAACCAATCTGGTTTCCAGTTGCTTCAGTCCTAAATTCTCCCGGAGACTGCCAGAAAAGATGCTAATGAAAGACCAATTGTGTGGCTGGAGTGTTTTCTTCGGACTCCTGCCCAGGCAACTGGATAGGAAGCCCAGAAGCAGGGTCACCAACCCCAGTCCTGTGGCAACATGGCCACACCTTTTGCTCACTACTGACCCCTCCTGGGGAGAAGGGGACAACATGTGAAGGGCTGGGATGCCAATCAGTTAGACCTGGACACGACTATTGGGTTCTTAAACCCAGCATCTGTTGGAGGATGGATCCTACCTGAACCTCAGGCCACAGATTCAGAGGCCCAGACCTTGGCAATGCCCTTTCCTTTAAGGGGCCCCCCAAAACTTATAAACAGGACTTTTCTTTGGCCTGAATCTTGTTTCTCCATTTTGTCCTGGGGAAATGGGGAGGGGGTAGGGCATTGAGGACCTTCGGGAGAATGAAGTGAACATAGTTAGGTGTTAGCAGTGTCACCCTAGCAGTGGAGCCAAGGGTGGATTTGGGGGCAAGACTAGGGTCAGCCAGTCCTTAACAGTTATTTTTGGGTGTCCTGCTCGGTACCGACTCCGGCAGGGGCTGCAGCAATGGCCCCACTGGAAGAGCCAGAGGGGCTGCAGGCGGGCAAGGGCCGTGGGTGGAGAAAAGGGGATGAGGCCCCCCGGTGGGTTAGACGGGGTCGGGGCTGCAGGGAGAGAGACAGCACCACCCCTCCCTCCACATCCTTCCTTTCCCCGGAGGGTTTATTTTTCTGACAAGTTAAATGTTGGTAGTCTTCTGGCAAAATGGGATTTTAAGCAGAAGGGCAAGTGTGGGACACGGAAAAGAGAATGAATTTTGACTTGACTGTGTTGAGAGACGGGCTGATTGTAGTGGCTGAGAAGAAGGATTTTGGCATCAGTCTATTCAAAGTTTGGTTTAGCTGCTGCCAGGTGATGCTTTTTTTGTGAGCCTCAGTTTCATCACCTATAAAGAGAGAGTACAGCAACTACCTTACGGTTTTTTGTTCTGTTTTGTTTTTAATGAGTAAATGATTTTAATTGCCCAGTGCCTCACAATTCAGGAAATAAAAGCTTGGGGCAAAAAAAAAGCTGAGTAAAGGCAACTAAATGCTATATATATAAAATAATGCTATTATATATATATATATATATATATATATATTAAAAAAAAACACGTTGATTGTTACTATGAGCCAGACATTTTACTAAGCGTTCTACGTAATCTCATTTAGCCTTCTCAACAGCTTCATACATAAGGTAAGTACATTTTGAAATCTGGCTTACAATTGAGAATGAAGAACAGAGAGCTTAAGATACCTCACCTAGGTCATACAGCTAATAAGTGGTAGAGGCAGGACTCAGACCTGGATCTGTCTGACTCCAAAACCATGGACCTTAACAGTCACACTGATGGCTTCACGGCACGTGCATGTCAAAGCACAGAAGAAAGATCTTGGCCTGAGCTGCGGACTGAGGAGTTGTGGGGATTTGATAATAGTTGAAACCATGATTACAGAAGGAATCATCCAAAAGAAGTGAACACAGTTGAGAAGGAGAGAAGGAAACAGCAATATTGACAGTGCAGACAGAGGAAGAGAAGCCCTAGACAGAGACTGAGCAGGGACAGCCAGAGAAGGAGGAGGGCATGAGGCCAAGGGAGGAGGGCAGGCTTCAAGGAGGGGGTGGAGGACAGGAATGTACTGGGCAGCTGTGGCTTGAGATGTGGCCCAGTAATGGGTCCTATGGGTCCTTGGAGAGTCTGGCAAAAGCAGCAGTGGAGCAGAGTCCAGGCTGAAGGGAGACTCAGGAAGAGACAGCAAGTGAGACCTGAATCGTCATGGACGGAGGAGGAGAGCATGGTAACTAGAGGTGGGTGCAGAGGAAGGGAGAGGTGGCCTCTGGATTTCTGATGACTGTATTGGGATGGAGAGAGGCTTCCTCCAGCAGCAGGAAAGGAGGTGCATTCTGAGCAAGCATGCAGGAGGGTGAGGGGCTTTGTGGCCAACAGTCTCTCTTTTCTCTGTGAAATTGGAAGTCAGCTGCAAAGGGAGTGTGGTGGGACCTAGGTAGGCAGGTTGAAAGCCATGGGAAAGATTTAAAACCAGCCCTGGGATGAAGGGGGTGGATTGTCCCAGGCTAGCCAGGCTGGGTAATAGGACTGCCAAGCTGGGTAAGCTAAGGTGGAAACTGGAAACCAATGCATTGAGAATAACCATTGACCACATTGTTGGGTGGTTTCCCTAGCAGCCTCACCAGCCACCATTAGGGTCAACCACCATCCCAGTTTACCCAGGATAGTTCTAGTTTTAGCATCTTAAAGTCTGGAATCCCAGGAAGCCCCTAGTCTCAGGCAAACCTGGACAACACTTTGTTACTCTAGCTCAGGGCTGGGGGAGTAGCAAAGACAGAGATGGATTGACCTGTGGCTGGGGACTCACTTGGTCAGTATGCAGGGGCTGGTGGGGAGTGAGGACTGTAGGGAGCTGGCAAGAGAAGAGTGAAGGTGAACTACTGTGCAAAACTTCTGGGATGACATGGAAGATAGTAGTGACAGGAGAGAGTAGATAGAACTGGAGAAACTGGAAGGGACTAGAGTTCCCGGTTAAAGTGGAGAGTGGGCTTAATGGGGGGGAAGGATTCCAAGAGCTGGGAGGAATAAGTGAGGATGCTTTGGGCTGCAGGTAACAAAAACCTGATTCAAAGCAACTTAAACAATGTGGAAGTGTATTAAGTCACGTAACAGGAAGGGCAGGGTTCAGGGTGGCTGATTCAGTGGCTCAGCAGTACAGTCAGAATCAGGTTCTTCCCATCTCTCTTCCCTGCTACCTTCATTGTTGGCTTCATCCTAAGACTAGAGGCAAAAGGGCCACCTCCAGATGTGACAATGTCTAGGGTAAGAAGAAAGACTATGTCTTCTTATGAGCGTCTCTTAGAAACAAGGACATTTTTCCCAGAGGTCCCCTAGTGGACTCTCCTTCACCACTCACTGGCCAGGACTGGGCCATGTGCTCATTCCAGAACCAATCGTTGGCAAGATAGGCCAATCAGACCTACTCTGGAGCACGGAGTGGGGCCAGCTTCCCTTGAGGCACATGGCAACATGGGGGAATGAGTAGATCTTAAGTAAAATTAAAGTTCTTATAGAAAGACAGAAGTGGGGGTGGTTGCTGAGTGCAAAACCAACAGTGTCCATCGCAGAGGCAGCAGTGGGCAAGTGGGATATGAATGCTATTATGAACACTCAACTTTAGTTCAACTTTAGTTTTTTATCTGCTCAAATTCTTCCTGGCTCTCTTCTGTCTATGAGATACATTACACACTCATTAGCTTTAACTAATATTGCAATAAATTATTATTCCTAAAAATCCTCTGCTCTGGCCAAAGCATGAACATACTGAGTATCTTCCTATTTCCTCACCTCTCCCAGTCCTTGGACTATAATCTCTCCCACCACACCTGCCTCTTAGCAGATAGCCAGACGCTACCCATCCACCAGGGCCTCGCCCAAACCCAATCGCTTAGTCTATAACCGCATAATATTAGTACCTCGAAGAACCTTCAAGACCATCCAGTCCAGTATCATCTGTCTTCAGGGGTGTCTGTGTGTAGACATAGCTTCTGGAGGGTTGGTCCATTTTTACACTTCTCAGGGGTCCTCTTGGCTCCCAGCACAATGACTGGTACACACAACAGATGCTCACTAAGTACTTATCGACTGACAGATTAATCAATGACTGCTCACAGACTGAGTGAGTGTAACCTGCCCTGCTTTGAATCTGCAGACTGGCTCTCAGAAGAGAGAGCCGGGGAAGATGGGGAGGAGGCACTGCTGGGCAGCCCTGGGATGTCAGGGTGGGGAACAAGAGTGATTATAAAGCTGAAAGGCATGGAAATTATCACTCCTCAAACCGGCACGTTAAATGACAAATTATAACCCTTGACTGTCTTCTAAGATACACTCTGGTATCATCTCTGCTAAAATGAATGAGCCTGCTACCACCCCCATCACTGGCCATTTTTACTCCAGCCCTTAAGGTCAGGATCTTTGGTGGGAGGGAAATGAACACAGATCCTTGGAATGGCCCACAGAGACCTCCCCGTGAAAGCCGCCTTTCCCTGCCCTGGGAGC